TGTGTGTGTGTGTGTGTGTGTGTGTATTTTACATACAACTTCAACAATATTGAAGAAAAGAACTCAGATTGTAAAATATTGTTTGCATACTTTGTTTTTTCGTAAGAAGGGCCACAACTTTCTGCCATGTCTCCGCCCCTCAGTCCGGTTGTCAAGGTAACTCGATTCAGAGATGCTCCTCCTCATGGTGGCGCTGTAATCTTCAAACTCTACATCACCTGGAGGGTCAAAGCCTGATTTGTACACTTCCACCACTTGACGGGTGTCCTGCACACACACACACACACACGCACACACACACACACACAGATGTGACCTCTCATCTCTCATCTTCTTCTTCAGGGGAAATGAAGAAATGAACGTGAGTTTTCTGACTAAACTGAAGTAGCATTGACTCATTGCTCTTCTATAAGAAAGAACCGCCTACGTCAGAGGCTGGGGGCAGGATTATTGTGACCAATAAGATCAAGCAGGACTTCTAACCCTAACCCTCTGTGTGGAAAAAAACCATTTTGTTTTGATGAAGAACCACTGAGAACCAACAGAATGCCCTGCAGGGACTAAGGTCACGTCTTGTTCCCTTGCAGAACCATGTGGTTCCATATTTAATCATATTAGAACTACATGACGTGTGATAAAAACTATTGAGGATTATTAAAGAGTTAAATGATAAACGTCAGAGTCTCAACACTCGTCCCACAGAACACTCACCATCCTGGGCTGGATGCTCTCAGCGGCGTCCATCATGGCATCCAAACAGCCACTAACCACTGGAAGAACTTTTCTTTCAGCTTCTGCAGACGAACGCATCGATTCACAGATTCTCTCGATTCGTCGCTCTTCCATGTCCTGGATACGCTACGAACACAGAACAGAACTGACATTGAAAAACTGTGTATGACTTTCCTAAAGATATACCTGGTATATGACTGGTAGAAGTGTGTGGTACTGATGGTTTAACAGTTATATGACTGGTACCAGTGTTTGGTACTGATGGATTACCTGGTATATGACTGGTACCAGTGTGTGGTAGTGCTGGTGCTGGTCTTGGTTAAACTGGTTCAAACTGGTCATATAGTCTTTCCTGGATTCTTCAGCTGCTTGTTGTTTCTGTTGAGCCGTGTGACGAGCCTGAAACCAGCAGAAAACTAGAATCACCGTCCTGTGGTGGTTCACCTGGTTTCTATGACCTTTGACCTTTTTATTTCACATGTTAACGTTCATGCTTAGGAAGAAAAGGAAGGAAACTCACCTTTAGTGAACAACGCTGAGAGAGAGAGAGACAGATCGAAAGACAGAGAGAGACAGTTCATTAAATATATGTATTGATCACATGTATTGAATGTATGTATTGGGGGGGCAGTAGCGCAGTCCATAGCGACTTGGCTTGGGAACCAGAGGGTGGCCAGTTCAAGTCCAGCATGGACGGCAGTTGGAGAGGTGCTAGTTCACCTCTTGGGCACTGCCAAGGTCTCTTGAGCAAGGCACCAAACCCCCCAATTGCTCCCCAGCAGCCTTCATGGCTGCCCACTGTTCTGTGTGTGGTCACTGTGTGGATTGTGTTCCATGTGTGTTCCGTTCACACAGATGGGTTAAATACAGAGGTCAAATTTCCCCTTGTTTTTATGTTGCATGCTGTGTGTGGGACCAAAAGTAGGAATCTTAATCATATTTCATATATATATGTATTGATCATATGTATTGATTTGTAAGCATTAATTGTGTTTGAACAATCAATTCTTTTGAATGAGTAAAGTTAGAACCTATGATCTGTCAGAGTCAGTGTTTTATATTTATATAAAATGGTAAAAACCTTTTCTCCGTCCGTCTTGTTGTCGAGGTCGATTCTGTCGGAGACATGTTGTGCTCGTTCAGCCTCTTTACAGTCACGCTCGAACCGACGTTTACTCTGATCAACAAGTAAACAACAAATCAATAAACACATCATTAGTGTTTCTGTCGTTACATCTGAATCTGAAGAGAAAATAAAAGTTTTTCATTTGTTTCTTCTGAATAAACAATAAAAGTCCCAACTGTATTTTTTAGTTTGTGGGCGGGGTCATAAAGGTCAGGTATATGTGGGGTCAGGGGTCAGAGGTCACTCACAGACTCCAACTGTTTCCACGAGCTCTCAATGTGCTGCTGGGCACGGCGGCCATCTTGGAAATGCTGCAACAAGGATATGAACCATTAAGACGCTGGTGACGTTCGTACTTCCTGTTTGAGAACCAATAACAAGCCAGGGATCCACTGACCACCAAAGTAAAAGCCTCATACATTTTCTACTGAAGGTTCCTGAGGTGTAATCAACTTATAATAAGAAAAGTCATAATA